TGTGTGTGTGTGTGTGTGTGTGTGTGTATTTCAAATATATATACATATGTATGATAAATATGTATACACACGTGTGTTTAAGTGTGTTCTTGGGTCTTCTGTGTGTGTTCGAAGCCCACATGATGCAAAAGGTCACAGTTAGGAAAACAGTCTGAGTTAGGGGAGTTTCTTCCTTAAACCATTATACTAAACACATCAGCCGTAGTGATTCTGTAAAATATATTGTACTCTCTATCCTTTGCCTAACTCTGCGGGTCCCTGCAAAGTTCTGATCTATGTACCAGTACACTTCACTGTGCTTTGTCTCAGTATTGGGAGCAAAGACATGCTAATTCTGTGGGACGAAGACTACATGCAGGCACTCATGAGCGGCGTGGGCGTGTCTAGCAAACAAACACTTCTAAATGGTCGCTTTAATTAACCTTAATTTTAAAAAAAACACTTTCATTTAAAGTCAGCTGTCAGAAGCGCGGGAAAGTACCAGACGCAATTTGTGGATGTGACGTTATAATCGAGATCAGCACATCTTGTTGTATGTGTTAAGAAATTCACGTGTACCAAGACGAAGGTGAGGTATTGTTGTAGTTGTAGTTATTTGTTATTAATTGTACACTGGTTTTAAGAAATAAAGAAACCAATTATACATTGTATTAATGTCATTATACTGGAGCTTACAATTCTGCAGAAAGGGTAACAAAAGTAGGCGAACTAGAATAGCCTGCATTGTTGATATCTTCTTTAGTAAAATAGTAGAATTTGTAAAAATGTAGAATCAATAGCAACAACTTATTTTTAAAATGTAAAAATTACATCAACCGCGCGTTCTGTGTGTGCTGGTGGCAATACATGTACCGTAGTGGCTGTGATTATAAAGACCTGTTTCAACAATTTCTTTTTAAAAGTGTCTTGACAGTTCTTAACCATTCATGGTACTACTCTGAGCAGTATTCTTTGAAAATTGTTAAAAACTGTCGTGAACGTTACTGAGAGTACTGTAGCGCATTTTCTAACTAAATTCTAGCAGAGAGTATTTAATTATCCTAGTGAACGTGGAAACAGAGCGCTCCAATTGAAAAAAAAAGACATCGGAGAAGCAAAGATGAAGCATTAACACATTTGTACCCC